GATAAGGTGATGAAGGCCTAACTAGGTGTAGAGGGCAGTGGGTGAACCTGAGCACAATTAATAGAGTCATGTGCAGGTAGGTGAAATACACTGAGTCCCCTCTACTGATTACCTAACATTCTCTACAAATCATCAGTCTGAATATCAGTTTTTACCGTATGGTATTATGACTGTTGACTGTGTAGAAATTTGAATTAAATGTGTTTTTACTCTGGAATATAAACTAAAATTTGTTGTAAGAATTAAATTCTAAATATTAGCTTCCTTACTTGTCCTTTGTCTCTCTTGCTTTAAAAATGGAGTGCACAGTGCAAGGAGAAAAAACTAGTAGTTATTTGAGTCAGAGGAACTCAAAGTCACACCTGCATAGTAAACCATAAAGTAATGAGGTTGATTTCCACAAGCCATCAGGAAACATGGTCTTCAAGCAGAATGGTGGTGTTCAAACATTTTCCTGAACGGTGTTGTTTAAACATTATGGAGGACCTTAGAGATTGTGAGTGTTAATTTCCTCATTTAGCATGTTAGAATACTAAGATTCAAGCAGTTAATGTGTAGATAGCACCAGCAGAGCACATGTTGTCAAGTTCCTTTTGTGTATTTTAAGAGAATCTTTTGAAATGATGGGTGTATGAACAATGAAGAGATTATTTTGAAGCTTCTAATCAAAGGTAATATATAGGAAGAAGCTAAACAGTTGGCCTTAAGAAAGTATTTATGTGTTTTAAATAGTTACCTAGTTTTCCTTCCAATACAATGTTTATGAATAGTTTGAGAATATCACAGTGAATACTTGGAAAACAATGGTAAAGTCCACTGGTTCTTAAACTTACTGTGTTTAATATTTTGTGAATAAAATTACTTTCATTTCCACAAAAGGCTAGGACGTTTTGAAGCACAGATATATGAGTATGTTTGGAATTAGGACACCATCTTTTAACATTTTCTAACACCTGTTGCTTTCAAACATATCAGTAACTAATTTCTGAAAGACTAGTACATCACAAAGTCTTATTAGTGTTTCAGGTTTCTGTTAAGGCAGCATTCTTTTACCATATGGTTTGCAGAAAGTGGATTAATATACTTGAGAAATGAGAAATATGGCTCTGAAAAGGATTTAAGTAAATGTTGGGGCCTTATTTAAGTGAAAAGTAATATACCAGCAGAGAGAAAAGATTTAGTTAATGAGTAAACATGGACATACGTTCACTATTGTGTTGGATAATGTCTCTGTCTTACTTTATCAAAAGTAGTCTTTTTTTCCTGCCTTATCACACAATCATTTTAATTTATTAACTAATAATATTAACTTGGGCCTTAAATTTTAACTACGAAATAAAACAAAATGATTTTAGTGGTGTGAAACTTGAAAACACTGTAGTTAGATCGCAAGCAGTCAGTGCCACCTTAGGGAGTTGTTTTCTCAGATTATTGGCCAAATTTGGCTTCTTTTTTTTTTTCTGCTTTGACTACCACATTACATTTTGCCTTGGAGCCATCCATTTTGCAGATATTGAATTACTTTTGAGTACTATTTTTATACAATAAGCATCACTACTCCTCTGAATCTTGATAGCATTACTGCGGGAGGAGAAAGCAGCTTTGTGTTAGTAATTACCTAACATTGTCAGAAGCTGACTGCAGGCCTCTTTCTAGTGATAACAGAATAACCGCATAATGTAGCTTTATAGCACATGATTAATAGAAAATAATTACACGTCCTACAAAGGGACGCAATATTTCTTATAAATTGACTAGAATGGTTTCCTGTAGATTAAAGGACTCTTCATTATTTTATCAGTTCTCCTGAAGTACAGTCACTTGCCTATGTTAGCATTTCAGTTGATGTTAAGAGCCGAATAGGGTGAAGGATACCAGATGGCAGACCTTCTTGTACCTGAGATGTCGTGTGCCATAGAGATGACATGGTGCTTCCTAACCTTTCAGAGATTTAGATGGCAGCCTGGCATGGTTTGTCCCTTTATTTTTCATTTATTAACAAGATAAGGTTTGAGGGTTGTTTTTTTAATGGTCCACATGTGACTTTATACAGCAATACTATCATTAGTATGTGGGTCACAAGGCAACATTGTATCGATTGCATTATTTTCTACTGTAAGTAATGTATCATTCATAATCACATTTGTTTGGGGGCAGCAAAGAGGAAAGGTATAGACAGGTTTATTTCCTTCTTCAAAAGGAAACCTTGTATGATATTGAGTCTTCAGGCCGAACTTTAGAATACTGTACTCCAAGAAGCATTTTCAGTCCAATTGATAGGCTGCAAATGGTTTAATTGGGATTCATGTTGCTCAGGAGGCTCATATAGAGGATGGTAATGATAAAAGTAAAAGCTCCTGTGTTTGCAGTCTTGTCGACATACTCTAACGGCTGCAGTGTAAATCCATAAATTTGCCTCCTAGATTTTTACCTCACTATATTTTATCTTATCTTTTAATTCAACACAGGAGTATTATATGGAATTCTTTATTAATGTAAAGTAATAAATATCCTGGTTTTTATTTTTACCCTTTTCTGATTTATATCTGTGATATTTTAGAGTACCTTTTTGTGGTGTATATTTCATATGTTTTTCAATTTTTTAAAATTAAGCAATGCATTTGAGGTTATTTTAGCCTAAAACGTTTTTTTCTCCCAGAATGTTACTTTTAAGAGGTTTTTTACAGCTGAATAAACTTCTCCCTGCTGTTTACTGCTGTGCTTTCTATTTAATGAATTTTACTTGTCTACCATAGTACAGAGTTCTCTCAAGTGTGTAGGCTGTCATTCATCCTTTGTTGATATGATTTGTTGGAAATCAATTTCTAAAATTTGGGTGTGAGCGAGCTTTCTGAGAATGATAATATACCTTTAATTGATGGTACAGATTATAACCGAAGTAGACTATTATAAACTAACATGAACTTTCTGGCTTGTAATTTGAATCTAAACATTGACACCTAGATTGAGGGCCATTCTCTGGAAGCAGGTTTGGGTCAATAATATGCCCTCTCACTGAATGTTTTCTGTGTCTACCACCGGGGGCTGGTTCCTTTACTCTTTTCTAATAATCAGTTTTACAAATCTTAGACTGGGTACTGGTAAGAGCTTTCACACTCACATTTACCCTGTTAACTGCCCATTTTGAAATCTTACAATGTAGGTTTTTGACCTGTAGAAAGTTAAGTACATTTGTTTTGTTAAGCATTAGGTTGTAATTATATTCACTGCCTTAAAAATTGAAAAGGGCAGTTTTATTAGGTACCTATTAGGATATAATGGTTGCTAATTGCAGCTTTCAGTAAGTTGGTATTTTCTTCTGATAAATATGTCCTACATAGGTTATAATCATCATCATTGAGTTCTGGGCATCAGAGTATTCTCATTGCTTAGACAGTTTTGTCCAGTAAGTTCACACTGTCAGGGAACTTTTAAACTTAAAATCTTGAGTCCACTGCCTCACAAGCCAGAGTTGTGCCCTTGTGAGAATAAGTGCAGGATTAGTCTTTTTGCCCCCTTTTCCCTCCACTTTCAATGTTCCTCCAATAAGTCTAATACTGACACTGCCCACTGTTTGAAAAAGCACCTATAGCTTTTATCCTATAATCTCTCTATTGATAGACTATATGTCAATACATATGAGTACATGCTAATGTTGCTATATCTGTATTGAAGAATTGTTTAATTTTCCTTTCTGAATGGTCATGCAAATATTAAGTCAATGCAGATGTTACATCTGCATTAGTATTAACATTCCCTCCCCACATATAACTCAATATGTATATGCACATTTATCTATGACTCAAATGTTGGAAAATCATAACCTATTGAATTACTTTGGGAATTGATTTTAAAAATTTATCTTATATGAAAAATTAAATTTGGGTCCTACAATGCTTGTGCACAGTATTGCTTTTGGAAGATATTATTCTTGAAACTTGTAATTCATTTTACTTTGTTTGTATTGTATCTCACTAAACATAAATAAATTTGAGATAAAAATACATTAGTCAATCTGGCAGACATTTGAGACCAGCTACGAAGTGTTCATGATGCCTAAAGCAGTGGTATATCTGTCAATGGAGTAAAAAGGGGTAGAAAAGGAGGCACAGGTTTGTTTATCTCATGTTGCAAAGTTAAATGCAGAAATGACTCATCAATCATGATTTTTTTATTGCTAGATTAATATTTTGCCTTTATAACTTAAGATACTTTTATTTCCTATTGATCTTCCACTGTAAGGGTGAATTGAACACCGCCTTTAAATTCCTTCTACCTATCCTTTATCGAAGGTAGTTTATCATCAATAAAAAGAACAATAAATACCTTATGGAAGCTATTGTGAAAGAACCCATGAATTATTTTGTAAAGAATTTTGTTTATAGTATTAGTGTTTCCTTATCCCCTAATCTATCTGTTTAAAATGTGTGTAGTATAAGATTTTCTTAAGAAGGGGCACACAACCACATTCTAAATCATTTTAGATCATATGAGTTTAATTAGAAATTAATAGTTTATTGTGAAAAAAAAATTTTTTAGCCTTTCTAGATGATAAGCTTTTTGAAGGCAAATGTAGTATCTTAAGGATCCTGGCTTTAACCTTGTAGCCTGTAGCACTAGTGCTGGTAACATAAAAGGTATCCCCTGGCTGTTTGGGGGATGGGAGAGGGAGGGAGGGAGGGAGGGAGACCCAGAGAGAGAGAGAGACCCAGAGAACTAGCTTCCTGAGGAAGTTTCATGTCCTAGGTTCTTACCGTGAGTGACCGTTTCTGTGTTCTGTGACTAGTAATAAACAGGCTTTGTGTTACACATTAATTTAAATCTTTGCCTAACAGCATTTTAAAAGTGTCCAGAAACAAAACAAAGAATGAAAATGTTTCCCTTTGCAGCTCAAGCTCTTGTAACTTTAAAAAAGAAATAACATTTCTAAGAAGTTGCATACAAACGACATTGTACTTACACCAGTCTAAAGGTTAATATTGCATATTGTTTTCAATTAGGAATACAATAGATATGGCTGGTGGGTAGGAGAAATGAAGGGAGCCATTGGCTTGGTGCCTAAAGCCTACATAATGGAGATGTATGATATTTGAGAGTCCTGGGTAAGTACATTTTAATCCAATATTCTGTAATAGCTCTTATGTTCTCCTGGTCTGTTTGTTATGAGTCTTTGCCTTTTTAAAGTCTTTCTAGTTTTCTGATAATACAAAGATTGTGCCCCCAAATCTTTTTCATTTTGTTTGATTTGGTTTAATTTTTAAAATAACTTCATGGAATTTACTTTGGAAATGGATAGATTATTTAGAGAAAGTTCCTTTGATAGTAACCAGCTGTTTTCCCAAACCTTCTACTCTTTAGTAAAATACCACTTTTATGGCCTTTCTGAGCAGCTGAATTGACAAAATGTTGAGTAAACATTCATTTTTTTCCTTGGCTAAAAGTGTAATTCTTTTCTAAGCAGGAATAATCAACATTTTGACTGAAGAAAAAAATAAAAATGCAACTTTCTCTTTCTGCCTACAGAAAAGGAAGTCTTCCACTTGTCTGCAAGTGTTTTGGATTTAGAAGCATCATGAAAGTCTGAGTGGCAGCTCATAACCTTTGTTTTGTTGAACATGGTCCTTGGCTGTTATTGTAGGCAGTCTTTAATTAAAATATTTTTCTGATATGAAATTAAATGAAAGGTGTTAATGTAAATTAGATGCAAGCAGTAAAGCTATACCTGTTGCTATTTTGCAAAGAAATAATTATAGTTTTTCTTTACTCATTTGATTTGTATGAAGAATTCATCACTATTTTATATTTACCAAATAGACACTGCTACTTATGGTGTGAGTTGTAATTTCTCTTAATAGTTGAACATCAATTATTTTTTACAGTGTAATATATAATTTCATTTTATATGAAATAAATTTCATTTTATTTTCATTTTAATTGAATATGTCATGCAAGTTTTTGATAGATGCTGAAGAATGTGGTTATGTTAAAGCTTTGTAGATGATTTATCTTAGTATTTATTTTTCACACAATAGTAACATGTTTTCATGAAAGAAGTTTTACAGATTGGCAGATTTACTTCCTGTTAAATATAGCCACCAGAAATAAAAAGTTACAGAGTTGCAAATGGCAGGGCGTTATCATCTTCAACACAAGTGCAGACCAGAACCATGGTTTGTGCAAAGCACTTTACCGATAACAGACATCCTGGTTCAATGATGGGCCTGTCAACGTCTTCTATTGTAGTTTTATTTAAATTTAATGAAGTAAAAAATTTGTAAGAAAACCCATTCTACCACTTACACAAAAGTACTTCAAAAAGTCCATGGAAAAATTAAATTAAGAGATAATATGAATCGTTCACAAAAATGTGAACTTTTTGAAGGCCCCTCATATAATGGTATAAAGAATCTCAGTGTATTCTCAAAGTAAGAGGCATAGCCAAGCACTCTCCTATCCTGCCCTATCATTGCTATGCTATTACAGACCAACTTCAAACCACGGAAGAGAGTATAGAAATCCTGGCAGTAACATATACCAACAGATGAGGGGAAGGGTAGCATTGACCATGACATTTGAGTTATACTCTGTGCTTCCTGAGCAAGATTTTGGGATTGCATCATTGCATTTGCACGTATATTTGAAATCAGAGGTATTTTAAATGCCTGCGAGGTACCAATATGGCCTTAATATATATTAAAATACATTGCTGATTGGATAATTATTTGGAATAGACATAATCTAGTATTGAATCATTACTTGGCAGATACTATCGTTGTTGAACTTTTCAGGTCTTTGCTTTATGAAGATAAAGATTCTAACCATGCAAATGAGTTGATGATATGTAAAAACCACCATTATTTATGTAAAAGTATTTACAAGCCATATTTCAGAGTGTCTGTTTTATCATTATCCCCTCAATACCATGATCATCAATTTCAAATGTAAAAAAACAAATTAAATTTTAGGAATTGTTACTAAACACAAATTTATTTATATATGGACATCATCAAGTTAAAATTTTCAGAAATTACGTTTGTACAATCATTAAACTTTTTCTAATATAGTGCCATTGAAATAGATTGATATCCCCTTGTTAAAGGTTAGACAACTGGAGATGAACTTAGTGGACTGGTTTTCAAAGCCTGAGTGATTTGAAAAGCAAAAGGCGTTTCCACTGACCATGTAGCTTTGCTGTGGATACAAGTTTTGTGCTTCCAGCTTGTGAAGTTTTTTTTGTTCCAAGCCAGTAGGTGGCAGCAGCTTTTCATTGCATGCAAAAGCACTTGGAAACCCTTCCCCCACTCAGGCACAAACTCTCCCAGAATATAAAGCATTTAGGAGATTTTTGCCTCCTTTTACAGATAATCCAGGAGAGGGAGTCCTTTGCCAACTGATGACCAATAGTTCCAAGCCAGAAAGTCTCTCTGTGAGCAGTGACATACGGAAATAAGGTTTTACTTATGTCCAGAGCTCCTCTGGCCTTTGTTCTTTCTTAACTTGAATATAGGTGGGAGAAACAAGAAAGGAAACAAAAGATTTAAAATTGGAGTGACAGGAAAAATAATCATTACTTTCAATTCATGACTACTTCATATTCATTTGGTGAAATCACTTGTGAAATCACAGAGAAAGTTTTCTTTACACCCTTGACAATATATCACATACTCTTCAAGATCATAATAATATCATTAATGTGAATTTAAACAACACAGCTTGTTAAAAAACATGCTAATTTCTATGTTCTCATTATGTTTGCTTAGCTTTTATTTGTTTTTCTATGAACAGTTAGAGAGCTAATTTTTTTCTAAGGTGATTGTAAGTCATATTTTATATAGCATTTTGCTTGGTTATTTGCTCTGTACTGAATTTGTACTCTATTGCCATTAGATCTTACAATAATGTTCCACTCTGCAAATTTTTAAGGTTCAAATAAAGTTTAATTGTTTGCAAACTGTTATGATGCTAATAATTCAACAGCCTGCTGTGTTACTAATGAAATTACTTTGTTATGATTAATTTGGAAAATAGTGTGTTGATTGTAGTAATTAAGCACAACAAGGTGAAGTAAATGATTCTAATGCCATCTGGCCTCCAAACTGAATGAAGAAATGAAATAGGGCTGTCATCTGAATTTATTCAAAGAAGTAAGGATAATACAAATGACTTTCTTTGCTATAGGATTTACACTTACCCACAGCTCACTCCATTCTGTTTTTTGCCACTTTGCTTGCATATGACACTTTTTTTTATGAAAAAGAATGTTGTTTAGTCCAGCAATTGTTTTGAATATTTTATTTTAAGCTGATTATTTTTACTGTGTGCTAATTTAATTACAGATAATTACATAAGGTATTATAGGATCATAGAAAAATCACCTTTCAACGATCTGAAGGTGAAATCTATATATGTGTGTTTTCTTTTTTTTTTTTTTTTGCTACCGGTGTACAGATGCTTTGAATGTAGCCTTTCACAGAGAGTAGAGCTTCTATTTAATTGTTTCTAAAACGTTTTCAATCAAAACATTCTCATAATCCTTATGATTTCTGCTTTTCCTATAGTTTCTCCACTCTAGTCTATTCCTACTCACTTATAGAATCTGGTACTATCCAGGGTCATGATTAAAAAACAGAACTGAGTTACATATTATAGATGAAGATTTGCAGTTCAGCCACTAGAAGAAAACTGACCCTAATATACATATGCATAATTTAAAAGCTTGAACTTCAGGGAGACTGAATGAAGCATTCTAAGAATTTTTTGATCAAGTAAATTTCTTCTAAATTTCAGATAAATCAGTTGTTTATATTTCAATTGTTGAGTGGAATTATAGACACAAAACATATAGAGATCACTTTTACTTCTCTTAAGTTCAATAGATTCATATTGAATAGCAGTATTGAAAAGCAATATTGAATATTGAAAAGCAATCCACATGATGAAGGAGGAGGTGGTGAAGATTAAAACATGATCAAGCCATAGAAAACACAGCTTCACTCACAGGTGGAAGGAGTACAATTAATGTATAGATATAAGACATAGAAACACTTGTGTTAAACATGGCCACTTCAGTAAAATCCTGACGATTCAAAAATACAGAAAAACAAATTAGTAGCATATTGTTAAAGTATCTTTCAACTAATTTAGTTATACTCAAAACAGTTCATTCTCTGAATTGGGAACAAGGGATTTCTAGACATCCTCAGCCTTAACCAGTTTATCATCTGCCAACAGCCTTATCGTTGAGTTCTGCCAGAGTATGTTAGAACCCTGATAGTGGAACATTTTGCTGTGGTGAGATAAAAACTTATAAAGTTATATGATCACAGAAACATAGAATGATATTTTATTAATGCTATGTTTGAGGGGCTTTTTTTTGTTTTTACTAGTAGAATCTGCTCGATCGTTGCTTAGACACAAACGTGATTTATTGCCAGCATGGTACAAAGTATATGGTGTGTATCCAGTAAATATTTGCTAATTAACTGATTTGGCACCCCATAATATCTCAAGAACTGAGATTTAAGAAGAAAAAACTTAACTTCTCTACTGGTAGAGAAAATGCCTTTATATAGTTAACACTTCTGCTTTCTGACTAGGAATGGTCTCTAAGTAAAAAAAGAAAAACAATCCCTTTTAACCAAGTCTTTAAAAGCAGGTCTCCAAAATACCATCAACAACTGGATTGAGTTTGATAGTAACAGAATTGAGTAAGATTGTGAATAACAAGAAAGTTGAGTCATGGCAGACAGTCTAGATATTTCCTCCCTTTCTTGTGTTCAGTGTTGTGACTCTTTCAAATAAGGGGCACAGGGGACTCAGGCAGCTTGGGGCAAGTGACCTATCTAGTTTCACTTCCCAGTGCATTCCAAGTCACTTGCTGCCCCGCATTCCACTTAGGAAATGTGAGAGAAGCCTCTCCTCCCGCCTTCTGATCTTGGAAGCATTCTAGCTGTTGCCTTGCACGGATCAGCAAGGAATTTCTGAAAGTGGGAAGTTTTACAGTTGTTGCCAAATCCAACCATAATTCAATTTTTGTTCTTTTTTTTTTTAAAAAAAAAAAAACCTTTACTCCCTATTTCTTTAAAGTCATATGATTAGCTTAACTTGAGTGCTATGAGTTCACAAGATGAAAGGAACCATAAATGCAGAAAGTAGCTTTAGTCATACCACTGCTCAGCTTAGGTCTGTAATGTTGGGAAAGGGGCTGGAAGTTGAGCAAGACAAAACACTTGTGAATGAGAACAGAAACTTCTCCCAAAGCCCATCTCTTAAGTGCCTTTCTTAACGTTAGAACTTTGGAACACATTTCCCTGGATTTCTCTCATCTCCGTTTTCACCGTTTTCTTTTTTACTATCCATTACTCAGAGAGGTAATATAGTGCAGCTCTGGTCTGCTTTCTGCTGTTGCCCTCAACTTTGTAATACAAAAATACACTCCTGCTCGAGTAAAAGCAGGTGCCATTTTGTGGCTTGAAAAGCAGTTTACCGTTTGCTTGAGGAAAGTGTCACACAGGTACTTTCAAAGGAGAAAATTAATGATGCCAATGTATGTCAATTAAAAACAACTGCTTTAGAGGAAGAGGAAAATTCCAATAAGCAGATTCCCATACACTACTTCTCCCTCCAGCCCCCATGGGAGTCCGTCTAGAAAAACTCGTGTTCTTTAACTATCAGTCAATGTGATAACTAAGGCTAGTAATATTAATAGCTAATGTTTACTGAATGGTTACTATTTGTCATGCTGTGAACTTTTCACCAGTCCTCATAATAACCCCATGAGGTGAGTTCTGTTATTTATTCCCATTTTCCTAATTAGGAAACTGAGGCAAAGCAATTTGTCCTAAGGTCTTAGGGTAGTAAGTTACCTAACCAGGCCTCATATCCAGCCTCCTTCGCCCAAATTCAGCACCATTCTGCTGTGCAGTACTGGGATG